GATCCTCTCCTCCCCTTCATGGGTCGCCATGCATGGCAAACACGTGGGTGGAGGTTTAAATCCCAGAGGAAAGAACTGAAAATACAGAACCTTCACTGGGAGATCCCTTCACCACGTACAGGAATCCACATCGAGGGGCTCTGGCAAGTAAATACTTTAAAAAATCAATAAATCATACTGCACTAACAAACCAATATTCATTACTGGCTGCCACTCCTGAAACTTTGCAATGATACTTCTCACCCCTAAATATAATACACACCCTGAACAAAAATGTTCAATCATACATGTTCTGATCTTCCTTACAGCCTTGGGCACTGGTAAGGTAGAATATTCGGCACTCTACCAGTGAAAGTGGGTTTTCTCGGGGTACTCCTGCCCCCCCCCCCCCAGCAAAATTTTATTGATTTGGATTTATAGATCCCAGCCCTGAAAAGGACCATATCATAGTATACTTAAACAAAAAATTAAAATTTCTAAGTTTTTATAATACTGAAAATGACTAATCATCTACAAATCGGATTATTATCTATTCAAACAAACAAAACCCACCTAAATTAACAAGTCAAGATGATAAAATTAATTTTAAATCTCAATTCTACAATATATGTTCAGTATTTTAAACAGAAAAGGACATGTTCTGTCTGGATTTCTCTGCTCTCCTCTATGACAGGTCATGCCAACTTATGTCACCACTATGAGTAAGCACAAACCATGTGTATCAACAAATGCATATGTTTCATCCACAGATACCTCTCCTTGTTTTAGCATGCCGTGTCTCAAGAAACTCTCCTTCCTTCATCTTATTTCCAAATCTCCTCACAGCTTCTCCTGATGTCTTGTGGCAATTTCACTAGCTAGAATATTATTAAAATTCCTTTCACAGTAATCTAAATTTCTCAAAGTTAGGCACCACTTAATCTCAAATCTCTCAATGGAGTGAGAAGAAAGAGAAGAACTAAGCTCATGTGGTAGGTCTCTGACCACCACTTTATGATTTCTAACTTTTGTAATAATATACAAAAACTGAAACGCTTTATGTTGAAGTCTGTCATGAAAATTGGAGTCTCTTCCAATGTTCAACAAATTTTCAAGTAAAGTATCCAAATAAGGATCAAGAAAATGGGGTTCTTCTTGATATTGGCTTAATATATATATATACACAAAATATTCATACGTGATATCAAGAATAGACCTATCCCTAACTTCCCATCACATTTGGATCAATCCTGAAAAATAAATTGTGGGTTTAAGTTTTTACTTTTCTCAAAGGACAGCCTTTATGGACCAAATGGTTTATGACTATATTGTGTATACGCTATGTCTATACAAATCACTAACTACAACTAACCTGGAAAATTTGGTCTCCTTATCTTAGAAAGGATATTGAATTATTAGAAAGGGTTTAGAGAAGAGCTGCTAGGATGATTCTGGAATGGTATGATTAATTTATGAAAACAGGTTGAAATCTCTCAACTTATTTTTTCTTGATAAGAAAATGAAAGTTAAGAGGTGCTCTTTTCAAATTTTTATACTTCAGAGTATTGGCAGCATAAAGGTCTGTGTTAGTAACAGTAAAGGCTGGAAGCTTACATGAGAGGAATCAATGATTTACTTAAAAGTAAAGGATGTGTTTAACTTTTACTTTTTTCTTGAAGATGGATATGCAGGATCAGCTCTGAACAACCAAATAGTTAATTTTTTTCTGTGTATTATACCTTGTTAGTGATAGCTTATTAAAAAATTCTGAAAGAAAAAAATCTCTTGTTAAATAACTTATATGTACAATACCTACGTATATTTTTGTATTGTTATAATTGAAGGTATCAGTAAAATCAAAAGAAACTAAAAAATTGTAGAAAAAAGAATGTAAAATATTTTTTTATTACATGTTTTTCAAATAATCCAATAGTGAAATAAAATCTTTTAAGGAAAAAAATGTTATAATTGTCTTGTTTAGATGATGCAGGTAAACTTTTAGCTAGTTAAAATCATGTCTACTAGGTCATAAAAATTAAAATGTATATGTAAATCTGACAATAAACAATATAGTATTAGTAATTAACTCTGTTGGTATACTGTAATTAAACTTTACAAATTAGTGAATAAAATTAAAAGTAGAAAAGTACAATACAAAGTTTTTAAGAACTAACCTCGTGTGGTAGGTGTCTGACCACCACTTTATAATTTCTAACTTTTGTAATAATATACAAGAACTGAAACGCTTTATGTCGAAGTCCATCATGAAAATTGGGGTCTCTTCCAATGTTCAACAAATTTTCAAGTAAAGTATCCAAATAAGGATCAAGAAGATGGGGTTGTTCCTGATATTGGCTTAATATATAAACAAAACGTTCGTACGTGATATCAAGAGTAGACCTCTCCCTATATACACTTGGAAGTTGTTTAATAATCTGTGTAATTTCTTCGTGCTCTTTAAATAATTCCAGAGCACATCCTAATCCTACTGCTTCACTCCCAGAGTTGTCTTCTCCATCGCATGCAGCCATTTTGAAAATAAAAGATCAATACACAGCGACTTCTACTGAATTAATACTGTTTGCAATTCTGAGATTTTACGTACGAGTATAAATAATGTTAATTTAAGAAGGCTTTTTTTTTACCAACTCAAAATGTGGATACATCTAAAAACCGCTAAAAGAACTTTAGTTGTATGTATTATTAAGACATTTATTACATTTTAGTTAAGAGAAAGTAGTATTGCTTGCACTATAAGCATTTTTTAGGTTGTACTTCGAATGATAGAATCATTTTATGGATTTGTCGTTCTGAAACCATAAATATTGTTACGTCTCTGGTCGTTAGTGAATTTTCCGTAAACATTCTTTCCGAAGAAACTTTAGCGATACAAGTCCTTTCTTAAATAAAACTAGTTTATTCTTTCTTAATACAACTTTGCAATACACTTAATTTCCACAGTCACGCTATAACTTAAACAAACGTTATAAATCACAACGAACGAACGATTCACGCGCTTGACTCAATTGTCGTCTCTATCTCTGTCTGCAATTCAATTACATTGTTGCCGTCACTTCTTGGCGGTCTAATATACAAGAATACCGCACATCTAGTAAACACTCGAAGCTTCACGATGGGACATGAATTTTCTAGAAGCTCATGACGTGTTACTAGCGTCACATGACTTCCGCTGTCGTAAAAATATATTTTCCTTAAAACAATTAAGAGAGAACAACTGAGGTTTTAAGCTATATAAGTTTGATATACATTTTTGGCGTGAACCATACTTTTTCAATAACTCAACATAGACCAATCGCTTATCTATTTTGAAAATTCAGTAAATAAATTTTCAGTGTAGTATTTCAGGGATTAATCAAATGCACAAATGTTTGCTCTTCGCAATAACAAAGGAATGATGAACCTAGTATGTGGAAAAGGAAGTGGTAGTGAATTGTTGTGAGAGGAGGTTAGAGACAAGACACGGTGGGATATTTAAATAAAATAGAAACACTTTATTCACTGAAAAGACGGGGGAGTAGAATGGGTGATCATAAAATATTGCTTTGTAATATAGTTGTTAAAAGTTAAGCTGAATATAAAACTCACACAATCAACAGGTATTAAATCAAACACAGAAACAAGAGCGAGACTTCACTGGTGAGCCCAATATTTTTCAAAACAGAAACGAATCTGGTTGATAACGTCAAACCTGCTGTTCACTCCACATGCTCTCTGTAGCTGATCGATCAGAAAATTGAAATGTAAGTATCCAAAAACACTTCTCTCCTTTTCTTAACCACAAAGCAGTCACATATATCCAAGACAATTCGGAAACAATACAACTTTCCTGTCAAATATCTTGCTACAAGTGGTAACACCTAAAGTTGAGTTGACACATGATATTGACTGTATTTAGTATTGTTACGTCTCTGGTCGTTTGTTAATTTCCCGTAGAAATTCTTTCCGAGAAACTTTAGCGATACAAGTTCTTTCTTAACTAAAACTAGTTTATTATTTCTCGATACAGCTTTATATTACACAGAATTTCCACGGTCACTTTAACTTCAACACACGCTATAATTCACAACGATTCACGCACTTTACTTACGGTCACTACCGCGCTTGACTCAATTGTCCATCTCTGTCTGTCTGCAATTCCATTCTTGCCGTCACTTTATTTGCCGGCTTGTATACTCTGAAAGCGTAAATCCAGATTACCCTCGTCTCTTCGTGAATCTTCTAGATACTCATCACGTACTACTAGCGTCACGTGACTTTCGCTGTCGTAACAATACATTTGAATCTAGATGTATAGGGTGAGAATAATCCACAACAAGTACACAGGACACTGGAGTTGTGTTCAAAAACATGAACATATTTCTATGAAAAACGATTCTTTTAGACTTCCCAGGTAAAAATCCTCAGCAGAAAGGGCAAAACTAATAGACGAAAAATAAAGAAGCTCTGTTAATTGTAGAACATAATCCTATTCTTAACAATACAAAGGTGTTCATTTATGTCTATTTTAATATTCTTATCTTTTGTACATAGAATTAGGAAGTATCTCAATACTTAGACTCAGGCCTAAAAGTTTTATTTATTATACTTAAATTTGACAATTCATTGATAATTTTTTTTATTTTTTGCAGTTGGTTAGTCTATGCTTGGAGATTACTATTATTATTGATTCTCACGTGATTTAAAAAAATAAACTTCCGTTAGATCCACCAGATGATGCTAGGTAAACCTGATGAAACGTTGTGAATAAAGTTTTACTATGTACAACTCATAACTACTTGTGTGCATTTTTTAATATAGTTTTTCTAATATTTAATAATGGTAACAGTATATTTTGAACAGTATATACATATTTACATGATCATTTTGTAATAAGAAACTTACCTGAAGTTTGTGTGAGTGTAGACTAATAATGAATTAAAACTTGATATGTGTTCTACTGTCAAACTTGTTATAATACTCAATATAGTAATAGTTTAATGAATAGTATAGACCTAATTTGGGTCTAAATTTAACTCTAGTAAGACTAGTAATACTACTAGTACTGGTGTACACATAGAATGGAATTTTGATGGTGTCTTGAAGACATTCTAGCTGCACAATTCAGCAGTAGTTTTCTATTAAATATACTCAATAAACTAATTTCAAAATTGTAAGTCTTTATAATAAGTTAATTGTATATTGAGAAGATCAGCTAACACAACAGCTTTAGACTAGTAATAGTATAGTACACATTGCTCACGCATAGCACTTAGTTTATCCTTCTCTCCTAACACATTTGGCCTCCATTAACGATACTTTCTTCCATCCAGCACCATCTGTTCCATTTCTTCCTATGTGATGGTTCTTTTGCTGAAATCTTTCTAAATACATTTTTCCGCGTGAGCTTTGGTCGTCCTCTCTTTCTATTCCCACCTTCAACCTTTTAATTCAATACTTGCTTCACAGTTCTTGTGTCATCTACTCTTATGATGAAACCCATCCATCTCAGTCTTTTTTGTCTGACCAAATACATCAGGTCACATTTTTTTATGCACTTCAGCACCTCGATGTTTGATACTGTTACGTCTCCGTTTGTTAATTAACTTTCCGTAACTTCGTTCCGACGAAACTTTAGCGACACAAGTCCTTACTTAATAAAACTGGTTTATTATTTCCGAATACAACTTTACGATACACTTATTTTCAACATTCGCGCTATAACAAACACTATAACGAACGAACGTTAACTTCAACAATACCCTGTGACTGCAGTTCAATTACTCACTATCTACACACACATTATTATCCCGTCACATTGTCACCCTCTTTTATATACCAGACTACCCTATATCTAGTAAATACTAGATCATTCGCCAAGGTACAGGATAGTTCTAGAAAATAGGTGGCGTGAGAATAGTCACGTGATCTCGATGACGCAACAATACTTTATCCTTCCACGGTAATTTAACAACCATACAGCAGGACAGGTACATTCTTGCGGTCCATAATAGCAATATTGCCAGTGAAGTCCAGATCCAATAACCTATTATTCCCCAGCTTTATTTTATGCAGTACTGCCAGGTCCTAAGCCGAAATAACTGAGGAAGGTTGGGCGAGGGGCTAGTAACCGCTCTCCATAAAACACTAACTACTACAGAAACTGTCGAGAACAATAATGCTTTCTATCTGGTGTGCTGAGGAGATAATAGATAGTATACATAGGAAATAGAATTTGGATGGTGGTTGGAACACATTATAGGCTATAGCTGCAAACTATGGTCACTTTCCTCTTAAATACACTCAATAAAACTAATTTCAAAAGGGTAAAAGTTTTTATAATGAGTAATTTTGCATTGAGAAGATCAGTTAACAAGATAGATAGACTAATACAACTTTAACTAGTAATAGTACACATCAGGGGATGAAATTTGGACAGTGGCTTGAACACATTATAGCTACAAACTTCGGCTAGTTTCCTATTAAATACACTCAATAGAACTAATTTCAAAACTAAGTCTTTATAATGAGTTAATTGTGTATTGAGTTTTTCAGCTCACTGTAATGGGCATGTGGGCAAACCTTGGGCTTTGTTGTTGGGTTCAATGTCACATTTGTTACAAAGGAATTTAATTGGATTTCATGTTGTGCTTTCACAAGTGGAACACATAAGCTACCAACTCAAAGAAGTTTATGAGTGGAATAAGGGACTCACACAGAGACAATGGTTTGTTTCTTTGTTATGAATTTCGCACAAAGCTTCACGAGGGCTATCTGTCCCTAATTTAGCAGTGTAAGACTAGAGGGAAGGCAATTAGTCATCACCACCCACTGGCAATTCTTTTACCAACGATAAGTGGGATTGACCATCACATCACAATGCCCCAACGGCTGAAAGGGCGAGCATGTTTGATGGATGGGGATTCAAACCCACGACCTGCAGATTGCAAGTCGAGCACACTAACCACCTGGTCATGCTGAGCCTAAGAAACAATGGAATACAAATCAAATAACTTCTTTATTTGTACACTGTTGAACAATTCATTTATATCAAAACTCTCAAGGTTGTGTTGAGATAACCCTACTCCTAAATCATTGAATTCTTCATTTTGAAAGTCTAGACATTCATTAATAAGACATTCTATTTTGTTCAATAACATAGACACAAAATTAGTTATCAACTAAATTAACACGAGGAATTCTCTTGGTCATAATCTGTGTAACTGCATTAACAATTCTTCCATGATTGTATTTCAGCAGTTCCACTATAAGTGTTATCAAATCTACTATTTCTTTAGTACAGTTAATATTCTTCACTTTTTCTCGTTAAACATTATACATTATTGAACCTTAAGTGAAACACTGCTAGACTAGATCAAAAATAGCACAGTTACAAAACGTTTATGTGGTGAATTTCTTGTAGATTCTGGAGTCAGGACAAATCTCAGGAGCAAGTTAAGATTTTGAGTCAGAAATACGGAATTATATACACAATTTTTAATGTTTTTTTGATTTTTCAAGAAGTTCAGCAGATCT